TTTCTATTATTTTGATTATTATTTATTTTATTTGAGATAATTTATGAAATTTTTTTTTTTTATTTCATTTTCATTTAATTTTTTATTTTATAAGATCTATTCCTTACTATTTTAATAAATTGGAGAAAAATAAAATATTAATAAGTTATTTTTCAATCTATTTTTTATGATATAATAAAACACTGGAAAATATTTTTCAGTTTATTTTTCATTATATTATCAAATATCAAAAAATAATTCCTAAAATTTATTTTTTTTAAATTTATTTTTAAAAAAAATTATTTTCTAACAAACAAAATCTTTTATTTTTTTTAATTTTTTAGATTTTTTTCTATTATTTTGATTATTATATTATCAAATATCAGAAAATAATTCCTAAAATTCACTTTTTTAAAATTTATTTTTTAAAAAAATTACTTTCTAAAAGGGAAGATTACAAACCTTTGAATTCTTTCAAAGGCAATAAATACATCTTCCTAAGGCAATATTGCAATTCCAAGTTGCAGAACAAATATTATTTACTTTCTAACTCCACAACAAAGACTTTAATTATACTTTGTTCGTGCTTGATCCCTTCCCATGGATCAAAAGCTTGCTTTCTCTCCAATACTCGTTTTGACCATCAGTTCACTGCAAATGTAAGAGATTAAAGACAGAGAAAATGTAGTTAGCAATCACACAATACATAGAAAATAAATAAGATTGCCAGAGGTAGAATAGACATAAACGCGTTTTAGCAAAATATTATGAGCTCAGCTCAGGTTCGGTTTGATGTCTGAGTCTTGGGTTTGAGTTTGTTTTTTTTGTTAATCTATTTTAAATTTAAATTTAAATTTAATATAAAATAATTTTCCAGCCTACACATAATTATTTTTAAAAAACTCATTAATGCATATCCAACTCTTAAAAAAATTGCATGCTAATTAACTAAGCGAGCGCACAAGTCTAACAATAAGTTGTGAACAACAGTAGCAAATAACTGGCGCTCTGGCTTTAGTGTGCTGAAGCCATAATGTCTTTTGATTACATATAAACTGGAAAAACAAAAGTAAGAGTTTGGAGCAACAAACCGCAAGGTTTGGGTAAGATGAGCATCTTTTGCAGAGTCATTGTCCGCTCTTGCTTTCACGATTTGAAACATGAGATCAAGCCTGAGTTGATTTGCAGCACTCTGCTCGGAGATTAGATCAGTAACCCTTTTTAGTTTCTCTGTCTCCTTTCTTATTTCTTTAAAAAAATTTCTTACTTCTTTCTGTCTCTCTCTTATCTGGTTCTGTCCTTTGCTGATCTCAACCATTTCAGCTGAAATCCGTCTCATGCTATTAATCCTACGTCTCGTTTTCATCGTCGCTTTTATTCTCTGTTTGCAAAGCTGAGAGATGATGCACGTTGATTGGCAGTTAATTCAAATAACAACCACAGCTAAATATATATCTTTTAACGTTTAACATAAGAAGAAAAGAAAAAACCAATAATTCATAAGCCAATTAATCAAGAGCAGCAAGTCTAAGATATGTACCAGACTCTTTCTTTGAGTTGGCTGAGGTTTCCAGTTGACTTGATTCAAAAACATCCACCCCCTGGCCTCCTATATTTGAAGCACTAGCACCCATTTATACACAATTGCAAGACCCCCGAAATTGACTTGCATTGACTTGAAAAACATGTTGGATGCTGGGATTCATTAACCGCGTGGTTTCAAAAGCATTAGTGTTCTTTTAGATGGTTAAATTCAGTAGATGAATCTTGTTAAATATATCAAACTAGAGTTTTATGTATTATTTAAGGTATATTTGGAGTTATCAATAGAATTTTACTGCCATTAAAGTTCGATTAGAAACTAAACATTGAAAGTTTTCTAACTATATATCACAAACCTAGTAATTCATTGAATCTTGTTAAATATATCAAACTAGATCTTCGTGTATTATTTAAAATATATTTGGAGCTATCAATAGAATTTTATTGCTATTAAAGTTCGGTGAAAACTAAACATTGAAAGTTTTCTAACCATATATCACAAACCTGGTAATTCATCCAAATGAGAGAGAACGACATATTTAAAATCAGGACTCAAATTTGCTAAGAATATGCAAGAATTGAAAATTCAGATTATTTTAACATGAATTTTTTTTTTGTTATTCTATTTATTTATTTTTGAATAATTATTTTTAATTTAGATTTTTCTAGCACATTAGACATTGTTTAAGGGTTTATTTCATTATTGAATTTATGTTAGTTAATTATTAGTTTAGGCTCATTAGCTTTCAACCCAACAGGGATTCATTAGGATTTATTGTGATGGAAACAACCAAGTTATCACTGTTAAATAATACATCTATTTTTACTTTATTTATTAAGGGTAGAATAATATTTTCAATTTAATTTATATATAATCTATTTGTATTTAGATTAACTTAAACACTTTAAAATAAATAGATTAAAAAGAATTTTAACTTCGTTCTCTTTTATGTTCGTTTTTCTTTTATGTTAATCTGAATTAATTTAACAATCACCAGGTTTATATGCATTTTCTATCATTCAATGATTCTTTTGTGTTGGAAAGTTTTGTTTGAGACATTTTATTTTTCTATATCATCAATTCATTGATTCATATTATTTATTTATTTTATTTTATTTAGATTATTTATAGATTATAATATTGTTAATTTATTTTTTTATATTTTAATATACTTTAATTTTTTGACTGTAATTGTCAATATGTAATTAATTTAAAAATTACTTATGATTTTATAATTCAAATTTATGATTCGAGTTTATATTATATTTTTTATATTGTATCAAAAAGGCATTTTTAACAATCTTAATTGTCATTGAAATTGAAATTGATTATAGAGTATCATCAATTCATTAATTAACATCCAAATTGGTATTTTTTTAGCCTTAATGTACGTTTGCTATCGTTGTGTTTTTAAAACACTATTGCTTTTAACTACTGTAGCCCAAAAATAATATTTGATTAAGATGCAAAAACAAAAAAAAAAAAAGTTGACACTTTAAAATTAAAGAAAACTATTTTCTTTTAAAACAAAGTGCGATAACCTTTATTTTTATTTTAAAAAAATACAGCTACTTGCTAAGGAAACTTTTTTTCATTTAAAGTGACAAATCTCTCTATTAATCATTTCAACAAATTACATTCATACGAAAGATGTCAGTGTTCTATTGTAATTCAATTTCAAAACTTTTCCTTATATTATTTATTACGTTGTATTTTTTATTGAAATGATTCTTTATATTAAATGTTTAATTATTGTCTCGAAACAAATAAAAAGGAGATAATTGAGATAGATAGAATTTATTTTCATGTCTTTTTTGTTTTAAAATGATATAAATTCATTCTAAAATTATCTAAAAAACATATTTATTTCATGTCTATACTTTTGTTTTTCAAACCAAAAACATTTGTCATTTTTGTATTTACATTTTGTATTATAAAATACTAATCAAACGTAATCTAGAAGTGTTTTTATATAATGTGAGATGTGAAATCTATTTATTTATTTCTTTAGTAACTCTTGATTAAAACATAATACTATTTTTTAAAAGAGACCACGTCGTTTGAGCATAAATTAATATGACGACTGCTTCTGCTTTTGTTAACAGTTAATTCAATGGGAAAAGTCTAATGATATCTGTATCGAACGACGGAGAAATTACCGTGAAAGAACTGTGAAAGGGATAAAAAAGAACAACCATATACGCCACGCCATTGGATCACCAATTAAATGAAAGCCGATGACAAAAATCTTGAATCTATCGTTACTTGACTTCCAATGCACTAATTTTCTTCGTTGTTATAGAATCATCTCAACAGCCAAAAAGACTCGGACAACTCAACGTGATTGTCGGTTCACTTCACTCGGGACAATTAGTCGATGTATTCGATGTAGCGGTCGTCGAGCATTTTCAATTGTCCCAACTGCTCGTTGGAACAGAAATGACAGGGAAATCATACCGCTGGCGCTGCCGAGCGAGATCATGTTAAAATCACTTTCTTTCGAGAAAGTATTTCGAGCTCGTCCACACATCGGTCGAGGGCTCCGAAGAATCGAACAGATCGCTCGATTAACCACGAGAACGCGAGAATCTATGTTCTTATGGAGAGTGATGTTCGGTGGGTAAACCCACCAAACAAGGACTAGACCGGGTCTTCATGATGATGTCTAGTCCCCCATAAGTACCATATTCCTGAGAATTTAATTAAAGAAAAAAAAGTATGGGGGCATACTTTTTTAACCATAATTTTTTTAGAGATTATTATTATTATTTTTATCATCATTAAGGCTAAAGATACCTGTAACTTTTTATAGATTTTTTATAAAGTAATGTGACATTATTCATTAGGGAATATGTTTTTCAAATCATGATAAATTATATCTCACAATTAATTGAGTGGTGTTCTAATTATTGATTTGGATTGGATTTATATGCATCTACCATATCTTATTGCATCTCTAGCTAAAAAATTCAAAAGGTATTTATTGAAGCCACACACTATCAGAAAATATTTATTTTTTGATAGAATTTTTTGATAGAATTATTTTATAGCAAGAACGAAAGATTCTCTTCATTGGTATAAACTTAAAATACTAATGAAATTGCTTTTTTTTTAATTGTATATCAACATAAATCTTCATTGGTTAAAAAAAATTAACAATACCGATAGAATGGAATTTCATACGTAAATAATTGAGATTTAAGTCCCATAGTGTTTTTTATTCCCAAATCAGCTCTTTGTCTCCCCCTCAACCATATACACAACTGAAAGTAGCTTATCCATTCACAGGCTAAGTCCCCCCTATGATGATCGCCCCCTTTATCGACTAGACCTAGATCCACATCGACCTCTTGAATGGTGGTTCTCGATGCCATCCACAACGACCTTTGACTTTTCTCATCGTTTCTCTCTATAAATATATAAATATACGTAAATCATTGTGCCTAGTCATCTGAAATTTGTTGATTTAATGATTTTTAATGTGATTGATGTAATTTTGTTGGATTTTAAATTAATAAGGATTTGGGGGTGTGTATATCCTTTTTAAACCCGATCCGGTAATCAATTCAAAACTTGAGTTATAGATTTTAACTAAGCCATTCGAATCAATTTTTTTTTATAAATTAAAATAATATCATTTTGATAAAAAATAATCAAGAAGTTGTAACCAAGTTTATGACTAGGCCACCTAAATTTTTTACTACTTATATTTTCTTTAAACTTGACTCGGTTCTAGCCTCAAGTCAACCAGATTACGAGTAAACCCACCAGATTAAGTCGAATTTAAAAATTATAAGTGCATGAAATATTTAAATAAGTATTGCTCTAATTTGTTTTTTCACTTTCATGTTTAATTTCTTTAATTGTAATTGTATTTTTTTACTAATTTATTGAGTTAAAATTTAAATTTACAAATGAAAAAAATAGTATAAAAAAAGAATCAAAACATAAAATATTAGAAACTCACGTAGCCATACTAAAATTCCCATGAAAAGTATTTTTATCCAAAAATTTAATTAAAAAAACACTGAAATTTAAATTTTTAAGATTTAAAAACTTTTATCTTGATTTTTTAATAGATAAAGATATTTAAAAAATAGATTAGTTGGTGACAAGTTATCTACCGCTATATACTACTTGTCTCCTAATTTGTTTTTTTTTTTAAAGCAAACAATGTGTCTCTAATCTTATATAAATAAATAAAATAAAATCCAGGCACAGGCCTAGACATTCAAGCCCAAAAACTCCTGGATTTTTTATTAAAGGGAAGCCTATAGACTTGACTCATTAGTAATTAGTCTTGTTTTGTTTTGTTTTTCACCCATTTTCATTAACTGTTTCAATTTTAATATTAATTTATTCTCTCTATTTTATTTTTAAAAAATGAATTGGCTTTGTTTTCTAAATAGTAATGAATATTTTTTTCCGTTTTAGATGTGATAATGTTAGTTTATCATGGTAAAAAAATTGTGTTGGTTAATTGGTGGTGTTGGTTGTGGTGGTGATAGTTTTATTAGTTTAAGTGTTTTTATTTCATGTATGGTGTATGATGTAGGACACTAGGTTACTAAACTTTAAACTAATTTATTGTAATTAAATGTATTATTATAAAATAAAAGAGAACATTCAAACTCGTTTGATTACCATGCACATGACACCTAAAGTGAAAAACAAGTTAAAGTAATATATATTTATATATATATATTAA